GTTTTCGAGAAATACACTCATTTGCAAATCAATTTGGTTTTCACGGGCGACTCAATTGAATCTCTCGTTTATGATGTCCTCCAGCTGAATGTGCTACACACGGGCCGCCTCATGAATCAGTTGGCACGATATTCGAGATATCGCAGTATATTCTCATAAAGGAAACAACTCACATATCATAAACGAGAGATTCAGTTGAGTCTCTCGTGAAAACCAAATTGATTTGCAAATGAGTGTATTTCTCGAAGTCAGTGACTAATTTGCTCGGGAGCTTAATGACCTTCAGCTCATCAGGTCATCAGATCAGTGCTAAACTTGAGTGGGTTAGGAGAATGGTGAGTGTAAACGCAAGACGATCACAGTAAGGACGGAAGATAGTTGCATGTGCAATAGGCTGGGATTAGTGGACGTGTACTGGTAACCCGAAAAACGAACTTCGTTCGAATCGACTTTTGATAATCTGGCGCTTCGATTATTTGAACTGTTACATCCCATTCTGTTGGTTACACGTGATACACCTGGCGCTTTTTCAGCCTTTTATGATTTTTCTCAATTTTGTGTAGAAAAAAGCAAGGAATACTGAATACAGAAAAAAGCTAATCATGAAGTTTTGTAGCTGCATCACCAATCGAGCGTACGAACTAATACAGTGTGATAGCTGCATCGTTTTACCACACCGTTGGCTCGTTGTTATCGATCAAAACCTTACACCGACCATTCCTTGTTAAGAAGTTCCGATACATTTCTCAATGTATCCGGATTAAATTCTTAAACCTAAGTCATACATCTTTCCTGGCGGGGAAAATTTTTTTCTGTCAGGTCTCCTGTGATCAAAATTTATTCTGGGTGATGTAGACTAGTAACTAACACTTCAGTACACCCACAGCATGCATTTAAGATCATAGAAATGTGTGACAGGATCGCAAAGCTGGTGGGAGCACGAAAGTGACGAGACACAGAGAGGACCAGCGCTGGACACAACTGCAGCAGGCTAACTACTAACCACTGAGCATGTAGAAGAGTGTGCGTGTGTGCGTCTACCTAGATCTACAGTATTGGAGGACCCTGAACCGAACCATCTGCATTTCAAGGCAGTAATAATGTGAGGTAAATTCATTCGTACGGAAACTTCAAAGTTTTCTAACAGTAATCTGACTTGCTGACAGTTTAGGGTGCCAACACACGTTTCCACAACACCTCATGCTTCATGCCATAATATAGATACCCCTAGTGAATTCGGTTTTCTACGTAACTGTACGGGTGTTTCAAGATTCCAGTCAGACCATCTGAGAATTCTTGTCGAAACGTCACGTTGACATTAGCACCACACGTCGACATGGAGAACTTCATAAGGAATGTTTTGTTTTTACACACGACGCAATCGAATAAAACAGATTTTTTGACATGAACTCGCATAACACAATTGGGTGTGCACACGACCATATCGATATCGAGGGCATCGCTGTGAGTCTCTCGAAAGAACCAAATTAGTTTGCAGATAAGTGTATATTCGCTAATTTCGTGCAATTTGGTTTCAAGCAGAACACAAGATTGACGGAAACCCGGGGACTGCGCCTATCTGATGAGCCCCAAGAAGGGCGAAAGCTGTCGTGGGCTGTCGGTGGATTTTCAGCAACCTTATGAATAGTACATTACAAATTGACAGAAGTAACTTTTTTGGCGTTGTCATTTAAAAAAATTACAAACAGGAAAATTCGGTCGCACATCAATTGCTCTGTTCAAGTTTCCATAGACCCACGGCAGAACAATGACATAATCTGTGACTTGAAGTCCACTCATTCCCCTCCCGATTCCAAATTCATTTAAACGGCCGTGAATGCTGAAGGGTCTACAACCATATCCAGTTTGGTTAATTTACCCATAAATCACAAATCCGCCAGCAAAACTGGAGCTAGGCTTTCCACAGCGGACAAACAGGCCAAATGATCGATTCCCAGGCGCATGTCCTCCGTCAAGGCCATCGTTAAAACCCCATATTTGGACAGTTGTTTGAAATTCCTGCTCATTATTGTTCGCGTGTCCCAGACAAAATTGCCGAATTCGCGTGGGTGGACAGCGACACAGAGCTGACGATAGGGATGGACACTGTGGGTAATCGAGGATGCTGAAATCAATCGCATGCGCTGAGCGTAATCAAACCATGTCGAACAACGCGCTTTGCACAACTAGTTTCCAGACAGATTTGGTGACAAGAATACATGTATAGGAAAACAAACTACTTGTGACTTATAGATTCACAAAGCTTTTTCGGTGTATGGTGGTTGATACATCACCTAATCAGTCTAACCAGATAGGATTTCTTGGCCGCTGCCAAACATAGAATCACACATTTTATTGTGGACACACTGCAGGCAGCGACTTCTTGCCACGCTACAACTGTTTAAAGGTGCAATATTGGTCGCTAGTCTTTCAAGTCAATGTGTACACCTAATACAACTCTGTTCTAGCATTGTGCAGTCAAAATCCAATTAGGACAAACAATGCAGATGTGGGTAATACTTATGTCGTACAGTGCAGGGGGCGAAATGGCTGTGGTTGGAGCGCGAATTCAGTGACCGAAAGGTCTGTGGTTCGAACCCGACCTCTGCCTCTCGACTTCCCCTGCCTATGCTTGAGCAAACTGGCAGTATCCAAGCCCTCGTGTTTCCTTCGAGTGGCATGGCAGCGAGGCATCGAAAGGGTGTTACAGCTGAACGATTTTGCCTCAACAATTGCCGCAGTTGACTGAATAACAAACTTTTTTGTATTTAGTGTACTCATGGTTTCGTTGTAGTTTCTAAAACGACAGTTTTACATTCTTCTGCACCTGTTTCACGGTCCTTTTGTCCGAAATGTCATCCTCCATTCACTCCGTATCATCGACCTCGTTCTTTGTATTTTTTTTCGAGTGCAATTGGGTATAATTTGATAATGTCGGCGTTCACACAATACCATGAAATTTTCAAATGGTTTAGGTGTCGCTGAGTGTACACCAACGATAGTAGTTAAGAACCAAACAAAAATTTTCTTGCTTGAAATCGTAGTGGTACAACGGTACCGTCATGTACCTTGGGCTTGTTGTAACGCGTGATTACGCGCTGGGGCTATACCTGATCTGGTTGCTTTCTCGAGCAAACACTTTCGACTCCAGATTGAGTAAATCCTATCAAAATTACGGCTTTCAGCAACATTTCTAATGCCTCAACCTGTCGGTTTGCACTTCACGTGTTGACTGAATCGTGCAACTGCTCCCCTCACTCTCATTTACGGGTTAAGTCCAGTTTGCATCTCTCTCCGTCTACATGTGCCATGTACACATTAGCAAGTGTGTGGATGCACAGTTGTTGACTTGACGTACTTGTGTAGCTTCACCTGATTGGTGCATCTGTACACGGGTCTCATGTCAGTGTGTTTTGGCACCTGTGTGCTCACGGCCAGAATAAGGCTGTCGTCACCATCAGTCCATGTTTGCCCAGTCCCTTTCCTACCGTTTGAATCACCCATTCTTGCTGAGTAAACTGCAATAAGTTCATGTACCGGACACTACACGTCTAAGTATCCACCCCTCCCCCCACCCGCCGCTACGGGAACCCCCCCCCCCCCCCCCCGCCTCTACGGGATCAACCAAATTTGTGTCAATAATCAGTCAAGTTCTCCATGGAATACCTTGAAAATGTACGTCACGTTGTCACACGTGTTGGCTGGTTCCTAGAGTGACGGCTTCTCAGATGGAAGTTTTAATCGTCTTGTGAAAGTAGTCCTCTTCTGAACTACCTGCACCGAAGACTACCAAATCTCACATTGGCATCGGATACATTCTTTCCTCACATCTGACTTGTGGTCCTCGGAATTCTCCTCCGCGTAATACACACGTGGCGATTCACCGAAATGGTACAAAATAACACTTTACGAAGGCATTGAGAAAACACAGACAAACTATGTAAGCATAAACAACAGCTGTCTACCAGTTAATTTCAAAGAATGCACACGATCAGCGTCTCGTGTCAAACAGCTTCCCTTCCATACAGTAGCCGACGCTCGACGTCATGACAGAATTCCTACCCCGCGTTAGTTTGCTCCATCTTCAACCAGCTGCCGACCAAAAGTGATACAAGTGAACAGTCGTACACCAACAAACAACACACAAACAGCAAAGCTTCTCTCTATCGACCCAACTACAACAGCCAACAGACGCAAGTTTGACTGGGTAATACGTCCGCAATCATCAGCAACAAGTGAATACACACCCTTGTTGACCAACGAATCAATGTGGGGATAATGTTTCGACCTATTCTGTAGATTGCCGAACGGATGAAAAAATCGCTTATTCATATCGGGAAGAATCCCAAGTCCCGGTGGAGCCAGAAATACAACATACTCGACTCAGTGATTGTTCGATGAGACGGGATTAAACAAAAACAACGGTAATCAACCATAACATTTCCACGGAACAATTAGCCTAATGTCGACATAAAATACTGAACAAAGAGGTGAATCATTGACCGCATTCTCCTCATAGATCACGAATGGTTCACTACGAATGAAATCCTCGTTGACTACCATTTTCAAACGTCTCTAGAATGTACGTAGAAACCGACAACGCAGTCGTTTTAACGTACAAGCTTGCTAAACCACTACATACTTCATTTAACATACGATAGAATAGGCTTCATAACGACACGAACAGAAACAACAATTTTTGATCAACATTGATCAGAGGAAGGTAGCTCAGTGATTAAGGCGCAAACTTACTGACTGGAAGATCCGTCGTTCTAACCCAACCTCTACATCTCGATCACTCCTGTCTACGCTTGGGCAACCTGACAGTAGCTTGGCCCTCATGCTTTCTTCGCCTGGTATGAGAGCTAGGCACCGAAAGAGTGGTACAGCTGAACGACTATTTATGTATTTTTTATTTACTCAGAGCAAAATGCACTCCACTCACGTAAAAGCATTCACAGTTCCTGTGGTGGCGCATGAATTCAGAACTATCCTTAATGCTGGCATTCGCATTAAAAACCGAGTACGCCCCACAAAAGACGTTTTGAATCACTAGCCGACGAATTTTTTATGCTGATGATGGCCGAGTCTTGACCTTCCATTTAGGCATCCCCAAATTTACTTGCCCAATTGGATTACATTATTCTGGCACTCGGCAGTCAGCTGCTAACACGATAACTAATAATGCGCCAAATGGAACGGGCTACAGTTCGCGTTTACAATGTGTATCAGAGGGAAAACTGACAACAGGAACAGGCAGCGCTACATTCCTTGTAGTGAATCATCAACAACGAACTGTTTGGAACAGCCAATTTAACACATGGATCCGTCTTACAAGAAACACATTCGGTCGATCAATAAGTGATGGTACACCAGGTTGTCTGGGCCAACAAGTGGTTCAAAATCACCCTTTTAATGACCCAGAATTAACCACCTGATTCAGGTGGAAAGATAATGGCGTTACACTTTGTCTGTGGGGCGTATTTCGGCAACTGCACCGGTAGCCTCCGATTTCAAACCGGCAGTTTAGAACCAAACACTGCATCCGATTGGGCTGTGGATGATCTTGGCAAGATTTGGTCGCACCATTGAATGGTACCACTCACTACTTGCACTTATAAACAAAGCGAGAAGGGCTAAGAGGGAATCTGATCGACCGACCACAAGCACGATAACTGGTTGGTAGCTTCTGCGTCACCTTGTATTGTGAACCGACTGGATTTCTTGTCAACTTATCGCGTTCCACATCGATCCTGGTTGAATTTGAGTTTATTCTGCATACTTTGGAAAACGTATGTTGTCTCATAGCTAAATCACACCGCACAAGTATTAATTCCAAAACAGTTTGACCAGTCGTCCACGAGAGCCAAACAGCATTAGACGGCAAAATGGTGGCACGAGTAGACAACTCGATCTTGTAAATAACCAATGGTCCAACAAGGCCTAAAGCAGACGTGCTGTCAACCGATGTGACACAGGGTTTGCAACGCAGCGGGTGCAGCTGAAAGCTCGATACGCGCACGCACAGCTGGCTGTCCTGGGCACCAAGAGGGAATGAGTTTCGTCAACCTCCCCAGCAGAATGAGCAACATGAACATAAGCGCTGGTGCGTAGCTGAATCCAACACTTACGATCAAGCCCCGCCAATTGCCGTTTTCGCCTCGATGCAGTTGCGGTCACAACCCAGGGATGAGTGAAGCCACCAGCCAAATAGTTGCCTGATACATGGCTGGAGTTGATGTGTGCATTTCGCGCGCTGAATTACGCACAGAACCACCACACATGTATGGAGAGCACGAGGCATGCACCTAATTACCTCGTGCTACTTTCATTTTGGTGTTGGAATACTAATGATTTTGTTACCTACACTAACCAGTACGGTCGCTGTAACAGGACGGTGTGCACGCTGACGGGAACCACCTGAGGTAGCGCTCAGGACTGTTCGGTGTGTCTCCTTGTTTTCCATATCGAGTCACGTTCCGTGGGGTAGTCAACGTTGTTTTGAAAGAAATGTCCCTGGCGAGATGAAACATAGGGTTTTGATCGTCCAAGGATCATATCGTTTTACGAACTGAGCAATCCATTTGCGCAACGCAACAAGGTTCAGGAACTAGGAGGCGAAAACTGATTTGCTTCAATCATACTGACTTCCTAGAGGAAATCGTGTGTATGGGCAGAATTCTTACGTGGCTTTCAAAGGGTGGAAGAGTTCTTTGGTGGAAAGTAGCCATCTACTAGCCTTCACGTCCCCAGAAGTACACTTTCCACGTTAAAAGTGCTATTGCATGGTGGTCGGCGCGTTTACTTGTTTGGTCAGTTGCATCGCTTCAGACGGCCACATCATCTACGAATAACGTGTTCTGGTTTACTCTACCATACCCTAATTTAAGCGATTTTGGGGCTATTGCACGAGAGCACGGTTGTCAAAGCAAAAAGAAACCGATTGTCTTTGACCGGCGGTGCATTGTACACGCATCATTGGAACATCCAAATAGCAAGTGCAGCGAGTGGCTTTCGGCAATAAGTCAACTGCTTGTCCACTTGATGACTTGATTCGGCTGCACTAGCTATGCTTTCCCGATCACGTGCTCCGTAGGCTAAGTGATGGATCACTTCGCCGCGTCCTATTTGTGGGTCCCGATTGAAAGACAACATAAGTAACAATGCATGAGATGAAGACACAGAAACAAGGTACAATAAGAAGGGACTATTCCTGCGTTCGTGCGTGCCATTCGTCAGGTTGATTTATCAGAGATGTACTTCATCAATGGTTGAATGTCTTCATCGTGACGCAGACTTCACGTAGCCAGTGATAAAGCTCTATCTGATAACCTATTCCAAATCAGTGATCTGTTATCATTTTTTATCGAGTTTTATCCTTATATGTACTCTCTATTCGACGCCAAGTTCAGTGCTGCGGTGACCCCAATCACATGGTTGCTGATATGAACGACTGTGAAGAGCACTACTCTCGCGCCTACTATACCAACAAAGAAAGTACTAAGAACGTTGATAAGGAGCTGATTCGACAACCTATTTTACTACAAATAGACGTAGGATAGACTGTGAAACTGCCTTATTTACGATGCCGTCTGTCATTCCGTTTTCCGTAAAAAAAGTCACCACTTTCGGATCGGAATCGCAGTGTCGTATGATTTGCAAACGTATCGAGCAAGGTTATGTACTGACTCTGTATTGATTCATTCTGGGATAGTGAGGGGTTGGGTAAAAATAGATCGCATTCACAGGGTGGGTGGTGTAGACCAGTGCCCCTTTACCTTTCAGGTTCGCATCCCATGAATGAGGACAACGCTTTATGTGAGAACTCGAGATAATAGAGAAGATCCGATCTAATTATGTAACACGTTACAAGGTGCCACCACCCAAGGATTCCCTTTGCTTTGTAGGTACCAAGAAGCATATCGTGTTGCGGATTGGCAATTCATTCCCTTATCCTATCTTTCACGGGAGCTGTACTCACAATGATGGTTTTTTTTATGGCATAGCATTCCACGACAGAATGAGATGGGGAACTGTGGTCGATAACTACACCCAGATGCTTAATAATTTGCTGATGAGAAGAATGTTGGCAGCTCAGATAGCGAACCAGGTCGTTGAGTAGTTAGTCACCAGAAATGGAACCAATGACGTACCGCTAAGCTCCGTACTCAAACAACGCACTGACGATGTCACGTTGATTGCGGATGAACAGTTTGGAGCTGAATTGTCTAGCTGAGAGAACAAATGAACGGGTGCATTTGACAAGTATCCCTTTCTATTTTTCGTGGACAACAAGTACAAAAAGTGCTACTTGAAAACAGCAACGTCCCTACGCGTGCTACCGAATTGAATAAATACTTCATCCCAGCCAAACTATTTCATCGTCCAGCTGTTTTGTACATAGTTATGGCCACTAATCATCACAAACATGCGTGAAGCATGATGACAAGGCTTGTATACAGCTGCAACAGGATCTTGGATACCGCGGATGGATAAGGGGAAGATATGAGATCAAATTTGGGGGCACGACTTCCGCGCGATTCAATGAGAAGCAGCCAAAATGGGCACTCAGTATTCGCACAATGGAGTTGAATTTTCAAAAGATACAACGTGTCCCTGATGGACTAAAAGAGACATTCAATTGAGTTCAGAGTACTAGTTCAAAGTTTTGAGTCCCATCTAGGCATCCCGGGACCACAGCGATGCTTGGAAAGTATTCCTCCATACTTTTCCGTCAGTAGACAATGAAATTTGGCGGGCTGCGAACATATCAATGTAGATTAGTATGATTTTTGGTTTGAGAACATATGCAACAAAATGCAACGTTTTGGTGCAAAAAGTTCTATTCCACTCGCAAAGATTTTGCAGCTGTGAGCATTGTGCGGCCAATGGGCCCAGCCAAAATGCCATCTTTCCGTAATGCATTATGAGTGACTTCATGCATCCTGAACCCTGCTGATTTTTCTAGTAAGTTCTGATTGAATCTAACATCGTTTTTCAACCTTCCAGGAAGCAAAACGTCTTAGATTCGGGTAAACCAGATCAGAATCAGCCGTAAGTTCCGCGAATGGCTGAACCGAAGAAATTGTTCCGTGTTGAATGGGAGGGAATAAGATTCACGGAAAACGACCTCGATTGTGCCTTATCGATCAGCTTGCCGATGAAACAGGAAGACTTGAAAAAAGCCACTCAAGGCTTGCCAAGCGATAGTGGAGGACCTCTGACAATCAGTTTGGTTGCGATATCCCTGTTATTAGCAATCTCATTTCAGCCATCCCCAGTGTACCGTTTGATCTACGCGAACCATATAGCCGTCTCAGTACAATGTTTTCCGCACACTTTACTAAGTTCTTGGTCTACGGTATCTGGTATGCAAATTTTTCTTGCTCTATGTGTCAGACAGTGAATCAGTTTCTAGATTCGTTTTAGTGGCTCGGAACACCGAAAACGCGTGAAAATTCTAGACCGAATACTGTTACAATCGACTCAACTAATCGGGTTAACCTAGTTCACTTTCGAGACTGGCAATCCATTGTCAGTCTCCTCCGCTATGGTGGAGCCAATTAGGTTGCATGATACATCAAACTCTGAAAACTGTCGCTGATCTCCTGTCTCTTTATCCTCTAGTCTCAGTCCGTGTACTGTGTGCCAGTACTGTATGTTGCCTTTAATTTGAACAATGATGAGTCTGAAAAACCGGGGCTAGGGGCGAATTTTTGTCGGCAAATATTTCTAGCAAAAACACAGACACCGTATGTTGTGCGTAAAACGTGGTTGTAGTTATCTAAGTGTGCACTTTGTGATATCTGTGTCTCTCCCTCGTCACTGATGAAATTACATGAATAGTGGGTTGTTTTACAGGGGAATATTTATGAAGTGTGATGACGTTTTGTGGTTGGTGTCAAATCTATGAACTCGTGCGTATCTTCCCAGCCGAATGATGGCATTTCCGATCAGACCAGTGACCAGCGTGGGTTAAAAATGGTATCGCGAAGCACAACAGAACAATGTGCTTCTGGCCTACTTCAGAGATAACGTGTGGCAAAAGAAACTTGATTCAAGTCAGCTTTACAAGATGAAGCTTAAATTTCAAGCACGAACCTTGACCAGAATTAGGAAACACATGTTTGCGATTCCCATGTAAATTTTAAGTATTCATACTGGATAGGCAGAAGTGGCGAACAATGGCTAAAAATTTAGCAGGTATGAAAAATCTCTTGTTGAGGTCAATGCGCCCAAAATGTGAGTAGTGATGCAATGAAAAAAGAAATGGTTCGGGTAGTATTTCCCCAACCTTATCAAAATATAAGGAACGTCGGTACATCATTCATTTAAATTGCGGAGAGACAGCGGAGAGAAGCGGGATTAATTGACTCTTAACTGTCACTCAGGCAAGTAACCATCAGAAAGATTTGGTGGGAGATGCAAATGGTGATAGCTGGAAAACCAGTGATAGCATTAGCATCGGCAGTAAGTAGGATGTTCCTATTGATCTCATCAGGCAACTGCTACGGTAAGATTACTTTTATCGATGTAACTGATGCCAATATGATACTTGGGCGGGGTATTGCTGGAACCCCTAGGATTATGCATGCGGATGAGTGGAATTCTCAATCGATGGGGATAGATTCGAGCGCCTAACTAAAAAGCGGCGGTAACTGGTGTGAAATCACCGAGAGGAGTCCAGACTCTGGAGGAGCATACTTGTGACCACACATGTTTCGCCTTTGACCTGAAGACCAGAAGATTGTTTTGGACTAATTCAGTGTTTCACAAACAGGGACCATGGTCCCAGGGGGTACCGTTGTCTCTTGGTCAATGAAATCGGTCCCTGAGTCAGTGAAATGACTGACTTGTTGCATTCAACTTTGTTAATACAATCCTACTGAATAGACACGGTCAGCCTCACCCCATTTCGAGTGTTTTTTCAGCCAAGCCGTATCCAACTATTTGTGTGATGCTGGATTTTTGACATCAGCATTTACAAAAACAGGGCCATACAAGCAACTCAAGGCTGAAACATGTGAGGTTCATCAACATCATCGACGGCAGTCCTTCCCTGTCGAACAATAATAATTTATCTGAAAGCCTTGTTGTGAAGAAAAGAATAAAAGCGGATGAGGAAGGGGCTAATACAATCATTCCGAGGTGCCCACACCTCCAGGAACTCATGACAGTCAAGCGCCAGTCTGTGAAACCCGGGGCATTGCTGTCTACAATGGTTCTGATGATAATGATGATGAGTTCAGTTAATAAACCGCAAAACAAATTTCCTTTTTGCTCACACAACCAACCAGAGTTGTTTCGTCCGACTACCAACCTCGGGTTGAACAGAACTTCGTAACCAACGGTAAGTAAATTTGCCGTGGATGTCAGATTTCAGAAGCGCAATAGACATTGTGGACAATGTCACTAACTGGATTTGTCATGGCCAGTATTGTCATTCAGCCATACAGCTGTACTCAGTCAGCAAAAGTATTCGCATTAAGGTTTTGCCATCAAGACAATGAATATAACAAGATACCACGGTACGTTATGTCAGGACGCGCCCAGACATGAAACAAGCACACGTGCAGAGGGTGACGCATCCCCAAGGCCACCATCGGTACGACACGTTTCGGAAAGTAGGTGCGTTGGCAGAGCTTACCAAACACGGCGGCTTAGCAATATAAGACCAGTGTTCACAAAGGAACACTGCCATTGGCTGTACAGGACGAACAGGTGAACGACCATATTTGGCCATTTATTCGTCCTTTATCATCGGTACGAACGTTTCGGAAAGTAGGTGCGTTGGCAGAGCTTACCAAACACGGCGGCTTAGCAATATAAGACCAGTGTTCACAAAGGAACACTGCCATTGGCTGTACAGGACGAACAGGTGAACGACCATATTTGGCCATTTATTCGTCCTTTATATCTGCGCAGAAGCTCTGCGTGTTTTGTCCTGACAATACAGCCGTGTCCAGAGTTCTCTGCCTTCTCCTTATCGCGTAGTCTGGCTCAGTGCAGGCGTAACCAATAGATGGCCACCGTTACAACACGTTATCCCTCCATATATGCTGCAACCTAAACGTATAGGGGCATTTCGCCAGACAACGAGGCCATATGTCTGACCGCCCGAACGCGACAAACTGATCACGGAGTATTAAATAACTACAGAGATAAGAACAACACACGGTGAGTACTCGCAAAGTAGCCGAAATGGAACCTGGCTAACTCCCACGTCTATGTGCAGCATCAAGTGAAACAGAACAAAGACAAATCTCGTTGCCTGGCAAACTAATAAGGTAATGAAATAACGGAGAAAGTTAAGGTCTCAAAAACCATGGTGATCACAAAAAGGGGAGTAGTGAAACAAGAAAAGCTGGGAACCCTAACCCAGGGCAGACCACAGAGTCTAAGAATGTCGATTTTAATCCAGCGCATCTTATCACAACTAATTACAGGTGAAATCTGTGAGCACCTTCCCAAAAACGCCTCTTCGAAAAATCGACTCCCAGCGTCATTCGGTTCCATTTAACCGAAGGCGCTTACTTGGTTACAGACATTCGAATAATCTGTAAAGTTCCTCGACCTTCAACTCACCCCGCTAAAGTGGGTCATTTATCGATGACTGAAACCAAAGCAATACGGTTCTGTGGGCACTCCATATTTGCCTCAATTAGGAGTTTCTTCAAAGAGTACAGTTTTTGTGTTCGCCCATGCGGAAACCTCATCTAACAAATAAGGCTACTTGCTTCAGCTTTTTAGTCCATGAAAAACTGATGTCTTGTGTTAAGGTGTTTTGTTTGCACCGACCCGGTCGGTACGGATTAATCAACGGCGTTCAGCGAGGCGGGCTTAATTAATCACAACCGGAATACACAGAACACCTTAACACAAGCCATCAGCTTGTCTTTAAATTAAGCAGTGCACGTGGCAAAATGTGACTGGCTTCGTCCCACTTTCGCCGTAAACGAACTGTTTTTGGTTTCGAAGCTGAACACATAGACTCCGAATAGTAAGTGTACAAACTAACTTTGCTGTATCTTTTAGATTAGCTACACTTATTGCATCTTAGAGTTAAAAACGTGAATGTCCCAGTATTTTGAACATCAGCAGGCTCGAACCCCGAGACAGCCTTTCGTTTAACTGAAGGGAATCATCATGGTCATTTCTAACCCTCTTTCGGTGCCTAGCTGCCATGGCCACCCGAAGAAGCACGACGGCCGGGATACTGCCAAGTTACCGAAGTTTAGACCAGTCAAAATGCAGAGGTCGGGTTCGAATCACGAACCTTCCGGTCAGTAAGCTCGTCCCTTAACGACTGAGCTATCTCAAGCTCAAGGAAAACCTCAACGAAGGATTTATTCGAAAAATTCGACAAAATAAAATAAATCTCCAGATGTGTATTGAGCCGTTTAGAACATGGTGATGCGACGACATCAGGATGACTAGGATGATTCTAAACTACTGAACGGTGAAACGTCGCTTGACAGCAGCCCGCACACTTTTAGAGGAAGTTCAAGGATCCCTCAATAGGTTAAACAGTTTTACTAACTCAAGGAACAGTGTGTTTCCAGGAAAGTGTCAGCCGAACTGTGTTGTCTGTTCCTCAAGCTGCTGAAAACACTGGGTGGTTGGGCTTTAAGTTCAGTAGCCGCCCGGTTTGGACTATGGTATTCCTCAAAATTAAGCTTCCGGTTGGAGTCCTCAGAATATTCCTCTTGTTATTCATTGGTCAGTAAGGTGTTCCTAGCACTGGATCAGTCGGTTTTTAGTGGGGGGTTCTCACCATGTGATGTGGAACTTTCACAAAGTTTTACTTGCAAGCTACATGGGGAGGGACTGGTGAAGCGGTGGTACTAGCTACGCCTTATGTTTTTGAGTTCGCTAGATCATTATATCCATCCACCCATGCGGATATCATGCACTAGGATCCAAACCACACTCCAAAGATGGTATGCAGTTCGTAGTGGGACGATATGCTCACACCGATATGTGACATCATCAGATTGAACTGTACAGTACCTAAATCGCAGTGGTGCTACTGAAAAGAAAATCAGCAGCAGCCACACTCGTCACAAAATATACAACTAGATTCTGAATTTCCTCACCATCTTCAGCCAAATTAGGATAAGTCGTCAGGGGGATTCGCCTACAACACTCGAAGAACAGTGGAGCAGCAAACTCTAATGAACACGGAACTGTTCCACTTACATCGATCCTACTCAAAACAAGCAGTAAGAGATGCGACCTGCTCCGACTGATACGGCTACTCTGCAGCAACGACAGCTCCCTAGGCAAATGAGATGAGAGTACATAATGCTAACGGCTGTTGTCTAACGAACGCGTTAAGCGCGTGACAGTCGACATCACTGCCAGACACTTTAACCTGAATACTACTAATCCACCTATTTACACTTCGTGCTTAAATGCTTCAAACGTACTTCACAAGTAATCCATCAAGGCGAGGATAAAAATGGAAACAAAAGAGGTGAATATCGCCTACAAGGCCTAACAAAATGGGGCTTTCGTCCGTTTGTTCACAACCGTGTTTGATAGATCGCAACACTTGTACATTTCCGCATACCTATGCGGTAGGATGAACACATGCCAGATGAGGAAGCTCTGTTCCATTAGCACGTACATATTCGATGAATCATCGGGCTAGCGCGACCAGCACACGCAATGCGACCGGCGTAAACAAACCACGGCAGCCGTGAAGCCAAAAATAGGGTGGTGAGCTGCTAACTGGAGAGTGGTTTGTAAACAAACAAGCAGAATCACTACTTGAGCAAACTGTGGCGGTCACAAGAGGGAATCGATTCAGTCTTCGTGACATGCCGAAAGCCCGTCGTCCACTGACCAACCACAGAAAAGAGGGTTGAAATATTCTGGAAGATTTCACTGACTGCGTATTCCTACAGATATCTTCTCCAAGGATTGCACGTGAACTTGTGAACTTGTGAACTGTGATAGTCTTCCGCGCCTTACTGGAATTCTTCAGATTCAGAATCGACCCGAAAAGAAAAGTTCAACAGCCATACCACTTTCTTCTCGTTTTAAGATTAGAAAAGCAATCGAATTCGCATTTTTAATTAACCATGACACTGAGACTGTGAAACTGAGTGTTGTGTCCACGTGAGAGATACATTTTGTTGCATGCCATAGGGCCCCACCGTCCACGGGACAGCCGCTGGTATAGACGTGAATTTTCACGCCAATGAATATGATTTATGCGGTCTTTGTCTTGCCTTCACTTAAAAATTATGGGGCTTGATGTGTAGCAAAGTGCGTCCGTCATATGCCGCGATCGATTGTTCAAGGCCAGTTTACACTGTTCTGTCTAGTTGAACTATTGCGTTTGCGGTCGTCGTGGCAGGGCGTCTAACAGGTACAGCGTAAAATAAGATATCCTCACCTGCATTATCTACCGTGAAAACAATATATTATTTTATTGACCAAACAGTGGTACGACCCAACTTCGG